TGGATCTTATAATTGATTTGGCACAGAATGGCACGAACTAAGAGAACATGTAGGAAGATATGCTCAATGATGCCTCATCAATATGAAATTGTGAGGCAGTACGAGGAGTATTAGTGGAATCCAGCACATGATATGGGCCAGCACATTAGGGAGATGTTGGCAAGGTGGAGAGAGGTGAGACAACTAGGACATATGGTCACTGGTCGTCAGGCCATCCGCCTCCTTGTTGATACATTGCTAGAAGAATGGCTAAAGATGGCCGAATCAATTTACAATTATTTGTGGGAAGTTTCTATACCCACTTTACCTCCGGAGATTGACTATGAGGCTTTTTGCACCGAGCTGACGGCACAGTGGGAGCAAGCTCGAGATGATGCACTTGCATATCCTGAGGGTGATAGAGTACCTATTGAGATTTACATTCATGAGGATGCGCCTCCACCTAGTTTAGACGATGAGTCACAACCTTCCAAGAAATCTAGGTTTCACGGAGGATTGATTGATGATGATGATGATGATGTTAAGACGGATTAGTGCTAGATGATATTAAGATGGATTAGTGCCAGTAATTTTTAGTAGGTTTTATTAGGCTTAGATCATGACATGTTGAGTAAGATTTCCTTTTTGCTTTTCAGTTGATTAGTACTAGATTTTTTTCATTGATTGTATTTCCTGTAAAAGACTTAGTTAATAATAAAATGGGTTATTTCCTAATTATAGTTTCTCATTTTACTGTGCAATGTGTGATTTTATGATTTTTTGAAGGATTACAAACTATTCCATTTTGTATGAAGGAAATGGCACGAGAGCAATTAGAGAATTGCGACAAGTAGTAGAAGAAATGAGATGGGTCTTAATGGCACAAGTTGCTCCAGCAGCACCAATGGCTCCGACCGGACAAGATGCATCAGCAATAGCACCTGTCGCAACACAAACTGCCCCTATACCATCCCCTGCTCCAGCATCAACCGCCACACTAACTGTACCAATCATTGAGCAGTTTCGTGGATACCGCCCTCTTAGCTTTGATGGCGATGATGACCCTTTGGCAGCAGACGAATGGCTTCACATAATTGAGAAGATCTTTGGGCACATATTTTCTCCAGAAAATCAGAAGGTGTTGTGTGCAGAATTCATGCTGGTGGGAGGAGCCGACCATTGGTGGGAATCCGTATCACGTACACGGACAGAGGAAGAGCAACATAATATGACATGGACCCAATAAGATGGAGTTGAATGAGAAATATTTCCCGCAAGCCCTTCGTGACCACTAGGAGACAGAGTTTTTACAACTAACATAGGGAGATAAGGACATCATTGAGTATGAGAGGAAGTTTGAATTATCCCGTAGCTTTGATGGCGGTGATGACCCTTTGGTAGTAGAGGAATGGCTTCACATAATTGAGAAGATCTTTCGGCACATATTTTGTCTACAAAATCAAAAGGTGTTGTGTGCAGAATTCATGCTAGTCGAAGGAGCCGACCATTGGTGGGAATCCACATCACGTACATGGATAGAGGAAGAGCAACGTAATATGACATGGACCCGATAAAATGGAGTTGAATGAGAAATATCTCCCGCAAGCCCTTTGTGACCACTAGGAGACAGAGTTTTTACAACTAACATAGGGAGATAAGGACATCACTGAGTATGAGAGGAAGTTTGAGGAATTATCCCGTTATGCCCCACATCTTGTAAGTACGGAGCTCATGAAAGCAAAACGCTTTGAGAAGGGACTGCGCCCTGAGATTAGGTAGATAGTGAGTTTGCATGAACTCACAACTTATCAAGAAGTTGTAAAGAAGGCCCAAACTATATCATTCTCGAGTTTTAAACTTCGAAGCCAGGGATTACAAAATGATATTGGAAAAAGGAAGTGGCACGATCAGGGTAAGGATAAGAGTTCCGGACAATTTAGGAAATAGAATAACGGTACTACAAGTTGACAGTTAGACAATCCCATTCCTCCGTGTCCTAAGTGCCAAAAATCCCATGGGGGTGAATGTTTATTTGGCAAGAATGCCTGTTACAAGTGTGGCTAGACAGGACAGTATACTTCAAGATGTCCGGCAATGCCAGTTGAGGTTGCTGAACAGGTGAAGAAAGAAAATATGAGAATTTTTGCCATAACACATGATGAGGCCGTGCAAGATCCAGACGTAATTACAGGTATTTTATCTGTTTACGGCATTCCTATTTATGTTCTTATTGATTCCGACATGATGCTCTGCAACATGCCTAGCCAATATCAATGTTTCATGTGAGAAAACTAGTAGTACACTAGATGTTAGTATGCTTTTAGGAGGAGTCATTGATACAAATAAGATTGCTAAGGCAGTACAAATAGATTTTGATGGGATAATCCTTGAGGCAGATTTACATGTCATAAAAGTAAAAGATTGTGATATTATCTTGGGTATGGATTGGTTAAGTAGCAATAGAGCTACAATTTTATGTTTTGAGAAAGATGTGATCTTCAAAAGGCCTGAAGAGAAAGAGTTTAGATTTTATGGGTAAAAATTTAAGGCACTCCCCCGTCTTATCTCGACTATGCAAGTGGAAAAGCTATTGAGGAAGATAACATGTCAAGGATATCTTGTTAGTCTTACTGGCTTACCATCAGAAGAGTTAACATTGGATAAAGTGCCTGTTGTGCAAGAATACACTGACGTATTTCCTGATGACCTATTGGGTGCCCCAATTGATAGACAAGTGGAATTTACAATAGACTTGATACCAAGAGCTGTATCAGTGTCTAAGGCTCCATACCTTATGGCGCAAATAGAATTACAGGAGTTAAAAATGAAGTTGGAGGAACCTCTAAATAAAGGTTTTATCAGACCAAGCGTGTCTCCATGGGGAGCTCCAGTACTTTTTGTGAAAAAGAGAGATGAAACCATGAGAATGTGTATTGACTATTGAGAGTTGAACAAGCTGACTGTCAGGAATAAATATCCTCTCCCAAGAATTGAAGATTTATTTAATCAATTGAATGGTGCAACCATATTCTCAAAGATTGACTTGAGGTTAGGCTATCATCAACTAAATATCAAGCCGAACGACATACCTAAAATAGCATTTAGAACTCGTTATGGACATTACGAGTTTACAGTTATGCCATTTGGACTTACTAATGCCCCAGCAGTATTTATGGATATGATGAATAAAGTATTTCATTAGTACCTGGACAAATTTGTTATTGTGTTTATTGATGATACACTAGTGTATTCAAGAGATTCTTAGCAGCATGAAAACCATTTGAGGACAATTCTGGGAACTTTACATAAGGAATTCAAGAAGTGTGAATTTTGGCTAGATCGAATAGGATTTTTGGGACTCATTGTGACAACAAATGGTATCGAAGTAGACCCAAGTAAGGTTGAAGCTATTACAAACTGGCAAAGACCTATGAATGTTTGAGATGTAAGGAGCTTCCTAGGTTTGGCTGGATACAATCGACGATTAATAGAAGGCTTCTCTAAGATAGCGGGTCCCTTGACACAATTAACTCGAAAGGATGTGAAGTTTGTATGGACTGAAATGTGCAAACAAAGCTTCCAAGAATTGAAAAATAGATTAGTATCCGCTCCAATGTTAGCAATTCCGGAGGAATTGGAGGGATTTGTTATCTATAGTGATGCTTTCAAACTAGGACTAGATTGTGTTTTGATGCAACGTGGAAGAGTGATAGCCTATGCTTCAAGACAATTAAAGCAGTACGAGAAAAATTATCCGACACACGATTTAGAACTTGCAGCGATAGTTCACGCTCTCAAGATTTGGTGTCATTACTTATATGGAAGCAAGTGTGAAATTTACAGTGACCATAAGAGCCTCAAGTACTTTTTTACCTAGAAGGAATTAAACATGAGATAAAGATGATGGTTAGAGCTAGTAAAAGACTATGATTGTACCATCCATTACCATCCTGGTAAAGCTAATGTAGTAGCAGATGCTTTGAGTAGGAAGAACCAAGGTCACTTATCAGCACTGGGTACACAACAAAATCAGTTAATTAAGGACTTTGAAAATTTGAGGATAGAAGTGCTAACACTACCAACTCGAGCATCATGTAAGTTGACAAGTTTGGTTCTAAAATCAACCCTCAGGGACAAGATTATAGCAGCTCAAAGGGATGACTATTTCTTGGAAAAGATAAAGGCGGAAGTTGGAATTGAGAAAAGGAAGGGATTTGAAATAAGCAGTGATAAGGAACTTATGTTTAAAGGCAGACTGTGTGTACCTAAGAATGAAGAAATAAGCAAGGAGATTATAACTGTGGCTCATTCTGCTTCTTATGCCGCACATCCGGGCTCTACAAAGATGTATAGAGACTTACGTTATACCTTTTGCTGGAGGAATAACTTTATTTGTGTCGAAGTGTATAGTTTTTCAACAAGTGAAAGCGGAGCATCAAAAACTATCAGGGCTATTAAATCCATTGGACATACCAGAATAGAAGTGGGAGGAAATCTCGATGGATTTTGTAGTGGGCCTTCGTAGGTCGGCAAAAGGTTACGATACAATTTGGGTCATAGTAGAGCAACTTACAAAATCTGCCCATTTTCTATCGGTTTGTATGACTTTCAGTCTGAAACAGTTTGCACAATTATATGTCAGAGAAATCGTTCGACGTCATGGGATACCAACATCCATTGTGTCAGATAGGACACCAGATTCACTTCAAATTTTGGAGGAGTCTTCAGACAGCTATGGGAGCTAAGTTATCATTTAGTACTGCATATCATCCTCAGATCAATGGACAGTCAGGACGAACTATGCAAGTATTAGAAGATATGTTGAGGGCATGTATACTAGATTTGGGCGGTAAATGGGAGAACCACTTACCACTGGTGGAATTTCCATACAATAATAGTTTTCAAGCTACTATCGGCATGGCTCCATACGAGGCATTGTATGGCTGAAGATGTCGTTCGCCAATATGTTGGGATGAGGTCGACGAGAAGAGAATTTTGGATCTAGAACTTATTGAGAAGATATGGAAGCTATAGATAAGATCAGAATGATGATTAAGATAGCTGAAGATCGTTAAAAGAGTTATGTAGATAAGAGAAGAAAAGAACTAGAATTTGACGTGGGAGAAAAAGTGTTTCGCCCCGACAAAAGGGACACTATGATTTGGGAAGAAAGGGAAGCTAAAACCAAGATTTATCGACCCATTTGAGATCCTTGAGAAGGTTGGAAATGTCGCATATCGTTTGGCACTATCACCTGAGCTATCGGCAATACATAATGTATTTCATATTTCTATGTTGAGAAAGTACATTCACGATCCAAGTCACATGATTAATGCTCAATCGTTGGATGTGCAGAGTGATATAACTTACGAAGAAGCACTTGTAATGGTTTTAGAAAGGAAGGTACACAATTTGAGAAATCGAGAAGTGCCATTAGTTAAAGTCCAATGGAGTAGACATGGGAAGGATGAGGCTACATAGGAGAGAGAAGCAGATGTTTTGGCTAAGTATCCAGACCTCCTTGAGGACGAAATTATTTTAAGGGGGAAAGATTGTAGCAACCTAAAATAAATTTTCATCTATTTCATGTTGACATATTTCGTCAGTCGATATACCAAGGGACAAATTTAAAAATAAGTCTTTGTGTCAAAATTTTAACTTTCCGTCAAATAATCAAGTATTCTTCAAGCGAGAAATTTCATATCGATATTGGGCTTGTTTCGAAGCTCACATTAAATGATGAACTTTGTCCACAAGAAAAAGTCATTTATGTAAGTTAGGCCCATGATATTGATATTCAAAAAAATAATAATAATAATAAAAAAAATTCACATGTTTAATTAAAGTTAATTAAGGATTTAATCGTTACTTTTGTTGGAGCCACGTGTGTCAACTAATTTCATCTTCTAATTTTTCTATTTTATATTATTATTATTTTCTTGTGAGATTAGGATGACAAAGCAAAATTTGGATTAGTTTATGTTACCCCCAGTGAATTTTGGTGCAATTAAAAATGTTAGATGGAGTCCTACATAGGATGAAAAAAAAAGAAAATTGGATCAAACTAGCTCACATGTAGGTCAATAAAGATTAGGATGCTATTTTGGATCAAACTAGTTCACGTGTAGGTCAATAAAGACTAGGATGCTATTTTATAGCAATTAAAGATAATTTATGTTAATTAGGTTGTTAAGGATGAATGGGAGTCCTAGTCCAATTAGACATCTAATTCAACAATAGACTTTAGTTGCCACATTCAATAGAATACTAGGATAAATTAGCACATATTTTCACTCCATTCTTAAGCACTCATCAGTAAAGAAATTCAGGGAAAATTTTGATGCTCTCGTGTTAGTCCTTTTAATATCAAATACGAAGGAATTTGGTTCAACATAGGACTTCCTCATCACCACGAGCTAAGGTAGGATCCCTAAGCGAAGTTGTCGTTACATGAATTAAATTTTCAAATAAGCATGTTATTCGTTATATTTGCATGAAGTATAAAGTGCCTTTAGAGATTTCCCTTAAATTTTGATGAAAGAAAGGTTTATACATGTTTAAACTGATGACTGCAGAGGCTCACCAGAATCTTAAGTATATATGTTAAACTGATGATCGCAGAGGCTCATCAGAACTTTAGATAGATCGTTTGATCATAGATTTACTTATTTATGAAGGCAACATGTAAGAATGTATGATTAAATGTATGAATATTAAGTTCATGTAGCACGTGCAGCCTGCTAAGTATTTCTTTGAGATGCTCACTCCTATTTAACCAATTTTAGATTAATCGGAGATCCGGCGGTGGTTTGGCATGAATGACATCTTTTATTTTTAGAGAAATTTATTTTATGTTTTAGATTTGCCACTTTTATGTTTATTATTCATTTGTGTCCCGGATATTGCTGTTCGAATCATGTTTTGATACAAACAGTTTTTTTTAAATGTTTGTTTGTGTTTCCAGTTTCTGCTTCCAATTTTAAAAATTCAGCCAGACCTAAATACTTGGATTTTTGAGGTGATTCTAGTTGGAAAATATATCCTTATGAGTTATCTATCCCTTGGATTTGAAATCATGAATTTTGGATCCATAAAACTCAAGTTATGAATATTTTCCCAAGAGTTGTCAGATTGTACCCGGGAACAGTTTTCCCCGGTTTAGAAAGAATTTTGACCCATTTATTGATTGAATTTATCTACGAAATTTTAACCTGTAATTCCCCTATGTGTATAATGTCTACAGGTAAAATTTTGTAAATTTTGGACTTCATTTATTGTCAAATGAGATATATTTCAGAAAGTCGTACAAGCTGAAGTCAAAACTTTCTGCACGAAAAATTTCTTAAATTTTGTAATAAGTTCTCTAGAGCCTTAATGTTTTTATTTCAAGTTAAGCTTCTACATTTTATGAACCATTAGGGAGAATTTTTATAAATTTAAAGTCTTTGTAAAGTCAGGAGTTCTCGGAGCTCAGAGCGTTACAAACTTCGGGCCTAGGAACAGAAGAATTGCTAGTGCTGGTTTCTATCTTTCCAATTTCTGCTTGTTGCATTTTCATTTTGATTTATATAACTTAAAAGTTAACTAAAATCATATATTAATGATGGTTTATCTTATGACTAGCATTTTATTTACTAAATTCATGAAGTCACTGACACGCACGACGCACGATTTACGCACGGACGAGGAGAATTTAAGAGAAATATAAAAATTTCCTTCTTGCTATTCAACAATAAAAATAACAATTAGGTGCAGTTAAGATCAGGACGGAGGGTCTATGGTCAATAAATGACTCTAAAAATAAAATCTATATACCCATAATACAAAATATTTCAAACCTTTAGATATGCTGTATACACAACTTTCAGATAATTACGAATTAGCCACATTTGTCGTAGAATCAGGAAGCATCCTTAACCGATTCTCGGAGAACAAGTATAGTGAACCATCTCAAGTCATTAAAAAAATCTCCGTAAACAGATATAACAAATAACAAAGCTACCGATAGAGGTATCTTGATCTAAAATTGGGTATTGGTTCCTTAGATAACATCAGGTTTTATTGCATCAGTACTTGAGCTAAGCTCATTAGTCTTTTTATTGAAGAATTCTCATCATCACCATAATCTCCAAGGGCGCTCTCTAAGCTCAATGAATAAACAACAAAGACATGTATTGATTAGTCTAAACATACAAGCAAATGTGATAAATTCTTGATAACTTTTATCTATTTAGGGAAACATGTAAACAGGAAAGATCATCAATTACAATAGTGTAGATAGATAGAATATTGAATTGCCATTCTCTAATATGATGCAACCATGGTGATTAAGAAACTCAGTAAAAATTTTATAGATTGATGCGAAATGGAGCAATCACACAATTGGGCAAGAAATAATATAACAAGTAAGATATCGATATATATAGGGCTAGCTATGCTTTCTGCCATGGTGCTGATGGAAGCATGCTTTCTGTTTTCATTGAATGGGCGGCATGCTTCCCTGTGATTCAACTATTCCAAAGCCTATGCCACTTACTTCTCATTCTTTTGCCCTCGAAAATGCTATGCCCAAACAAACAACAATAATGTTGGGAGAGATGCTGTTGGCTTTCATGACGCAATTGGGGGATAATTGATCTACAAACTTGTATAAACATATGATTGATTGGAGATTCGGTTAAAGTGGATTAATGTGTTCGAACAGGGATCAAACAAAGAAGTAGATCCCTTATGGATGAACTCCGGGCCTAGGAATAGAAGAATTGCTAGTGTTGGCTTTCTGTCTTTCCAATTTCTGCTTGCTGCATTTTCATTTTGATGTATATACCTTAGAAGTTAACTGAAATTGTATATTAATGATGGTTTATCTTATGAGTAACCTACTAAATTCATAAAGTTACTGACACGCACGATGCACGATTCACACACGAACGAGAAGAATTTAAGAGAACTATAAAATTTCCTTCTTGCTATTCAACAATAAAAATAATAATGAGGAACAGGTAAGATCAGGATGGAGTGTCTATGGTCAATAAATGACTCTAAAATAAAATCTACATACCCATAATATTAAATCTACAAAATATTTCAAAACCTTAGATATGCTGTATACACAACTTTCAGATAATTACGAATTAGCCACATTTGATGTGGAGTCAAGAAGTATCCTTAATCGACTCTCGGGGAACAAGTATATTGAACCATCTCAAGTCATTAAAAAGATCTCTGTAAATAGATATAACAGATAACAAAGCTACTGATAGAAATATCTTGACTTAAAATTGGGTATTGGTTCCTTAGATTACATCATGTTATATTGCATTAGTACTTGAGCTAAGCTCATTAGTCTTTTTATTGAAGAATCGTCATCATTACCATAATCTCTAAGGGCTCTCTCTAAGCTCAATGAATAAACAAAAATGACATGTATTGATTAGTCTAAATATACAAGCAAAGGTGATAAGTTCTTGATAACTTTTATCTATTTAGGGAAACATGTAAACAGGAAAGATCATCAATCACAATAGTATAGATAGATAGAATATTGAATTGCCATTCTCTAATGTGATGCAACCATGGTGGTTACGAAACTCAGTAAAAATTGTATAGATTGATGCGAAATGGAGAAATCACACAATTGGACAAGAAATAATATGACAAGTTAGATATCATTATATATAGGGCTAGCTAAGCTTTCTGCCATTGCCTGGTGCTGATGGAAGCATGCTTTCTGTTTCCATTGAATGGGTGGCATGCTTCCCTGTGATGCGACTATTCCAAAGCTTATGCCACTTGCTTCTCATTCTTTTGCCCTCGAAAACGCTTTGTCGAAATCAACAGCAATAACGTTGGGAGAGATGTTGTTGGCTTTCATGAGGTAATTGGGGGATAGTTGATCTACAAACTTGTATAAACATCGGTTGAAGTGGATTAATGTGTTCGAACAGGGATCAAACAAAGAAGTAGATCCCTTCTGGATGAACTTCGAGCCTAGGAATAGAAGAATTTGCTAGTGCTGGTTTTTGTCTTTCCAATTTTTGCTTCATGCATTTTCATTTTGATTTATATACCTTAGAAGTTAACTGAAATTGTATAACAATGATGGTTTATCTTATGAGTAACCTTTTATTTACTAAATTCAAAAAGTCATTGACAAGCATGACGCACGGTTCACGCACGAACGAGGAGAATTTAAGAGAACTATAAAAATTTCCTTCTAGCTATTCAACAATAAAAATTATAATTAGGTACAGCTAAGATCAGAACGGAGGGTCTATGGTCAATAAATGACTCTAAAAACAAAGTCTATAAGCCCATAATATTAAATGTACAAAATATTTCAAAACTTTAGATATGCTGTTTACACAACTTTCAGATAATTACGAATTTACCACATTTGACGTGGAATCAGGAAGCATCCTAAACCAATTCTCAGAGAACAAATATATTGATCCATCTCAAATCATTAAAGAAATCTCTTT